GAGGCTGTAAATCTTTACGGGAACAGAAAGTCTCATCTTTTTCCCGCAGGAACAGCTGGTAGTTTTGAACTACTAACTTTGAGGTTCGCAGCCTGATTTGTAACCACTATGCTACCAGATTGAATAAGCATGGTGAAAGAACATAATCTGGGCACACACATTTCCTTATTTTAAACCATTCAGTGTTGCTGTGTTCTGTTTGAACAACTGCCTCTTGGTCTATGTACAGGTTCCTCATGAGCACAATTAACTGTTCCGAAATACACATTCTATGCAATACTGTCCATAGCTCGTCATGATCCGAAAGCTTCTGCAAAGTCAATAAAGCACAGGCAAACATCTTTCTGAGCTTCTCTGCTTGCAGCAAGATCCATTTGACTTCAGTAGCCTTGTATATATTAAAAGAAACTCAACAATCTGGGGGCAAGTCACCCCTTTCAGAACTGATTTGGTATCACCCGCCACCTATGTTATGTTCACCAGTCTGTGTAGGATGAAGACTATAGGGAAAGGGAGGGGATTGGAAGAGATAGTGGTAATTATCAGTCAGGAGAGAGTGATCATGGATCTTTTCTTCTTCCATGTGAGTGAAAGGAGACATAGTGATTAAAGCACTAGTCTGCTAACCTTGTAGGTAGGGAAAGGTCTGGAGAGCTTTGGGGTCTGTCCAAGATGCCATTAAGAATGAGAGAAAAGATTTGACAGAGTGGATTTGAAAGCAGTGATTGGGAAAACAAAATAATAAACATTTCATGTTGGTGCCCACATGACTTCAGATTATTAATTCCTCACAAGGTGGGTGCTCCTTATAAAACAGTCAGTGTTGAGTGTCTGCAAACAGCATTACAAATCCAGAGGGAATTATAACTGTACCAATTAAATTAAGGCACTTTCCCTCTTCAGTATTCTTTTTTGGCATTCCCCTCAATACTACTGGTATTGGAATTAGAAGTTGGCACCTTCTGGATCACCTTGAATAATCTAGAAAGCTAGTGGGGGTCTGCTTAAGATGTTAGTAAAGGTCATAAAAATCTTTTACAGAAAATATTTGGAAAGACAAAGCAACTAAGTAATGTTTTGTTTTGATACCACAACAACTTCAGATGATTGACTAAATCAGCTATCAAATGTTTCCATTGCCCTACGTTATTGAAATGTATCACAATACTCAGTTTACTCCAATTCTATCATATTTGAACATTTTGAAGACAATTTTAGGATTTATTCTTCATTTTGGAGTTTCCAGGTGTTGCAGATGTTTAAGTGCTGCTTGCTCAGAAGAGAGGTAAGTAACTCTGCTTCTGAAAGGACACAGCCTCGAAAACCCTATGGAACAAATGTACTCTGCTCATGTGTGTTCTGTGAGTGGAATCCACACAGTAACAACTAATAACTCCTCATTTTAAAGTATAGAACATAAAGTACAAAAATATAAAGATACTTATACACTTATGTTGAGATTTCTTTTTCAGTTTTACCTAAAGTGTAAGAATTTTGATATGAAATACAAGATTTAGGTAACATGCTAGTTTCTCAAGGTAAAGGAACATGTTTTGTTCATCATTGTATCCCCGGAATAGTAGGAATAGTAGGCACTCAGGAAGCGTCAGTGATTCTTATACACCTGTTTGGAGTATCGGCTCTTAAATAACACTGACTGGGTTTGAATCCTGACTGTACCTCATTGGTGACCTTACGCAAGTTATTTAATGACTTCATAGCTCTCATTCTTAAAATGTGGAGGACATCAGTTTCGTGGGCTATTATGAATATTAAGTGAGTTAGTACAGTGCAGGATAATGTACAAGGTCAATTTGAACCACAAGCCTAGTGGTTCAAACCTACCAGCCACTCCATTGAAACTCTAGACAGAGTCACTATTAGTTGAAATCTACTCAATGCACTTAACAAACAATACATAAACACATGCATATTATTATGTACAGAGACTTGGAACTGGGTCTTTGAGGGACACAAAAATATACTGGTGACCTGACCTATACTCAGAGCGGTAGTTACTCTAAATACCAACAGAGAGGGAAAGAGTCAATGCTATCCGCTCTGTGCACAGGGTAGATAGGGACGGACAACTTAGACATTGGCTACCTAAAATGAGGGGGCAACAAAGGCACGAAGTGACTGGCTTACAAGGTTTCAAGAGGGAGTTTAGTTTAAGAGTTTGGGGGGGGTGGGAAAGAAAGAGTCCTCACTGAATAGTTGTCATTTTGTCTATATGGGTCTGGTGAAAGAGATGGGGATAAGATTCGTAAGATTCAATTGTGAATAACTGTTATCATGACTAATCGCAACTGTCACAATTGTAAAGGTAGAAGTTTTGTAACAAAAAAGAGGAGTGGTTAATCTTACAGTCCAGAAACAGAGGATCTTAGGATCCTCAAGAGAGGAACGCACAAGCAGAGGGCAGGACCTTATCCAGAGAAGCAGCGCCAGAGATGGGGGCATGGAGAGGGGGAGTGGCTGAGGACTCTAGATTCATGGACTAAGAAGAGA